AGTCACTTCGCTATTTCAGTGATTTCAGGTGGCCGCTCGCTCGTTTGCCACCTTATGATATAAAAAAATGAAAAATCCACTCGGACTGTAATAAATTGAATAAGCTAATTAAAATATAATAGCTAGTGAATATATGAAACAGTTTGAAAAAACAGCTCGTTAACCTGTAGTCATAGGAATTGAACTGGCAAATATCGATTGAATGGCTCCAAAGCTTTGTGTACCAGGCGAGCATAACTCGACGTCAGAGTCATGTTTAGGTATTCCGCTCTTCTGCGCTTTGCTGTCTAACTTTACGCGCAAATGAAATTCTATTGAATATAAACGTGCACATTCTTAAACAAAGTATTCGATTGAGATTTATTGGTATTTCTAGCCTGTAATTACAGATTGTTTAATCTTTTTATAAGCATGCATAATATTTTAACGGAATAGTCCAATTAAAACTTACATGTGTTGGCATTCTCATTTTTTATCTACAAACTACAGATTTACTGAACAGTCGAACTGTTGAGTTTAAACTGAACCGGCAATATTTTAAGTAAGTTAAGATCGAAATTATTTATAATTATTTAGCGGGTCTTAAGTACTTGTATAGAACAATTTAGTCTTTTTAGTAATTGTATTTAGGAGTTATAACATAATAACAGGCATTTAATCTTTAAAATTTTTAATTCCAAAGAATGTAAGCGAATATTTAATGGTAAAAATACATAAGTATTTTCAAATGCAAACCTATAGATGTTGAATTTCAATTTTACAGATGCATTTTCATTGAAAATAACAGAAAAAGAAGAAGTAAACGCTAAAAATGCTTTCTTCCATTCCAACGGAATTTACTTTTTCATCTTTTACCTTTTAGAAATAATATGAATTTCAGAGACAAGAACTTTCATTCGTACTACGAAAATGATTTGTCTGTTTATTTGTGCTATTTCTTTTCAACATTTTATACATTTCGTGCAAGATTTAATGGAAATCGTATTTGACGTATATGTTAGTTTACATATATTTTTGTCGAAGATTGCAATCTACATGAATTGAACGAAGTGAACCTTGAATCAGTATTACATAAAATTGGATCTAGATTTCTAAGGTTCTAGGAAATCCAATCTAGACCAAATGGAGTAACTACTATATGACTAATAGAAAAGATGATTAAACTTTTGTTATGTGATTGAACTCATGTAGCTTTTAAAAATATTTCTTTTCATAATATACTTGATATAATTTTTTAAACTGTCATCATCATCAGCTCACTATACGTCCCCGCGGAGGGGCTCGGAGCCTACCCTAAGTTAAGGGTGATTAGACCATAGTCAACCACGCTGGCCAAGTGCGGGTTGGTTGACTTCACACATATCTTTGAATTTCTTCTCAGATATGTGCAGGTTGCATCACGATGTTTTCCTTCACCGTAAGAACTTCGGATAAATGTACATATGTAAATCGGCAATCGAAAAACACATTGGTACATGGCGGGATTCGAACCCAGGACCTGAAGATTGCAAGTCGAGTGCTTGACCCCTGAGCCACCGACGCTTTTAAACTGTACCTATGTATTTTTTTCATACGTAACTTTTCTCAATTAAAAATTGACAGTTAATGTGGAAAAGTGGACAAACCTATTTTTAATCAAAAAAAGAATTCTTTGAATGACCTTGGGCGAATTTCAACCAATGGGCGACTAGTACTTTTCAAACTTACAAAATCTTTTTAATGCTACATTTCTTAAAAAAAATATTATTCAACATACAAATACTGAGTTGTTAACCTAAATATACTGTTGTTTATTATTTCACTGATATAATTTAGATACGAACCCTTGTCATAGCTAATGAGATAACAAACTGAATTTCTGTTTCGTTACCTTGAAGACAGACGATATAATGGCCTACATGAAGGAGATTGATAACAATACGAATACAAACAAATATTTTGTATATAATATCCAGGACACTGAATAAATTATTATTAATATAATTGAAAAAGCATTCTAACCCGACAGTAAAGGAAACATACATCCTTCCGTATGCTTAAAATTGAAAACAGGACACAGCAGCCTAAATGTTTTTATTGTTTTTATACTTTTAAAAATATATACATATTAACATTAAAAATTTCAACAAACTCTGTTCACGATTACATTCATGTTAACACTTCCCGCGCGATTCTTTTCTTATTCCTGCCTATCTTTTCTTAATTTGGTTCTTAAAAAGGTTGTCAGTGGCCAGTATGCCACCTCTTTAGATGAGTGTTTAATCTATGTCCACCAAAGAGTTCGAATACGTTATTCTGAACAACATCCTACTCTTCCGTACATCATTTGCTCTTACATACTTATATTTATTTATTTTATCACTGTTCTAAATAAGTTATAAAGTTACTCGCCTATAATCAATCAATTCGAACTTCATATTTAAAATATTAGATTAAAACTCGAAAGTAATAACGAATATAACAAAAATGTTATATTTAGCTTAGACAAAGCTTTACGCTAAAAATGAAAAAAGAAAAAAAAACCCAAGTTAACAACAACTTAACTCAATAAGCTTCTTAAAAAACTTATCCCTTGTTTGAGTATACGGATACGAAAACTTTCGTTTGTTAAAATTTGTTGTGGAAGAAAATGTTTGATATTAATATGAAATATATTTATTTTTATAAACATTTTCATATTTTCAGAAATATTATAAAACTAATAAGTAAATAAAAGTAACTATTTTTCTTTCTAACCTATAAAAATAAAATAACGAAGGACGTACAATAGTGTACGAAATCGTAAAATAAAATTCCTTAAATCTGCTCTCCGGTAAATTTGATTTTTTCACTTAGGATAGTTTACGTAGGAGCCGTCAACATATATTTCCTAAATAACTATAGTATCCTTATAACCTTATTTTAATGTATATTGTCATAAAAGAAATCTTTACTATGTCTATTTTATTGAGGTGTAAAAATCGTTAAACATAAAAGGATCGAAGTATCAAAAATAAAAGATCGATATTAAATAAAATCAACATTTTATTCATAGTTCAGTACACTTACAATATACATATATATACTACATAGAATATAGTATAAAGACTTAAGTTACCAAGTTATCTAATCTCATACAAAAATAATTAGTTCTCATCCAACCATAACTTGTACTCATAAAATTCTCGCTTAAGAAGTACCAGAACTGGTTAAGTTACCATAAGTTTCCATTGCCGAAACATCTCCACAAAACATTTAGTATTTTTATATTTTTAACATCAATATCTAATATACTTTATTACTTTTAGACATTATAAGTAAGAATACTTTGGCGCGAATTGCGCGTTTTCATTACAAAGTCAAGTGTCAGATTTAGTGAGGGGACATAAACGTCGACATTTTAGTAAGGCTAGTGTTGATACACCGGCACAGTGTCGAATTTTCTTCCTAACATTACATTCTAGATTTACAAAGCTTTCTTAAAAGATAAATAAAACAACGGTAAATAATTTAATAGTACTCACATCGGCATTTATATATATCATTTAGATTATAGAAGTACCATTAATAGTTGGTTTCTGAGACCAAAATCTCTGTATAAAATACTAGCTGTCGCCCGCCACTCCATCCGCCCAAAACTAAAAAAAAAATAATTAGCTGTCTATGTCTTCTAAAGAATGTATTCTACCGGTATATCAAATTTCAGCGGGATCCGTAAAGCTGTTCTGAAGATACTTTCAAACATCCATCCATCCATCCTAACATGTGCATGCATATTAGTAAGACTAAAGTAGTTAGATATCGTCATCCCTGTCATAATCTTTGAAAATAACAGAGAAAACAATGTATTACGAAATGTGAAGACCGTATACAATTTTACATAATACATATATAAAATATTTATACAAAGTGATATGACTATTCTTAAAATAGTAATACATATATAAGCCTTTTCCTAAGACTTTATATTTCACAATAATCAAAATATTAAAAAGAGTATTAGACATTTTTAGCCATTTTTGAAAACTTGTAATTTTTAGTAAAATACAATTTTTCCATAAAAGTACATTCTGGTTTTTTACCGTGAGTTTCTGAGGAAAAAATCTCTGTATAAAACATATCTTATTCATTATCATTGAAAAAATAGAGACTGCGACTTGTGGACTTTCCGGATGAGAGGATGAATGGAAAGGGAAGATATTTTCTTTCTATGTATCCTCTCCTCCGTCGATTAAAGGTAGGCAACGCATATGCAATTGTGTATGTCACTTCGGTATTTCAGTGATTTCAGGTTGCCGCTCGCTCGTTTGCCACCTTATGATATAAAAAAAAGATAACGATATGTTTTAATCAGGGATCTCGGTCTCGGAAACTCACGGTGAGTACATAGTACACAGTGAGCGACGTGCCGCGTTTTCGAAATAATACCAGTCCCACTCCTAATGAAGGGCCCCCGATGGGCTCGAAACTAGTCGGTGTTGCCACCGGACGAATATATGAGTGTTTAGCCGTTTTTATATTTGTATATACATAGTCAAAATTTAGTCTTCAAAAAAATTTTGAAATTATAAAAGGGATAGTAGGAAGTATTTATTGTTATTTAGAATTGAATTATTACGAATTCAATAAATATTTCTTATAAATATTATATTTAAATAACACTTTTATATGATTAAGCAAACAGCGTTTATTAATACATTTTATAACAAAGATCTAGTTATGAATTTAGCAATTCCAGTTTCTAAAATCTAGTGAAAATAATTATATTTCATATACGATATAAAGATAGATATTATTATTAATTTTAACACGATTTAAAGCTTTTTTTTCTCTTATAAAAACATACACGTAGTATTGTGCAACATTTAATAAAAAGAAAAATATTGTTAGTAAAATTTCTTGCAAAACCAACTACGTTATTGTCCAACACTAACCTTAGATTTCTGAGACGAAAATCTCTATAAAAACATATCGTCATCCTTGTAATTTTTAACAAAACAGGGATAACAATATGTTTTAAACTTTGGTCTCAGAAAGTCAAGGTAAATGAATGTTTTTAACATTCGCCGTTCCAACAATACAATATGAACCACTTTAATGTACATTGCGATTTTACTTTGAAACCTTCCTAAAGATAGTTCATAAAAAACCATCAATGGAAATACACAGTTCAAACAAATCTATATTTAATCTTATCCAGTTTCATTTAACAAGATTTCAAGTCTTGAATTTGAAATGTGCGTATGCAGATTATAATATTAAAACAGTTTGATAAATATATATGAAAGTAAATATTGAAGGAACTAATTCACAAGTTAACGATCAGGTAAGGGCATAGAACTTGCATCTACAATTAAAATTACATCTAATCCCAACGAATATTCCAATTACATAAATTCTAATCTGGATAAATTATTATAATACTAAGGAATAAATTCATAATCTACTTCAACATTATCTACAATCTCTTTCTATCTTCTATCTACAATCCAATATCACTTATCCGAAGGTAAAACCTTTTCCTACAATAAATGGACATACAATCGTTTATCAATCTAAACGAATTCCCCTACGGTTACAATTTTTGGCATCGCGAGATAACCTTATTTAGTAAATTGAATAGAATCTGTCAAGTCAATCGTTCCGAAGTCTTTCTGAAGTTGTGATTCTCGCCATAGATTTATTCACCATCTCTTCATCTGAAAATTTTTATTAGTACAAAAACAGGATAAGTATCTTCAACTTTTACTTTTAATATTTTGATTTAGACTGCAACTGCAACCTTCGAATCTGTTATTGCGTTTGCTGAATTAAACTGGTTTAAACGCATTCAAACCTGATGAATGTAAGCTAACAATTTTCCTTAAACCATCAAATAGTGTATCTTACCTCACGTTTAAACAACTCAATCCAGCATTCTGCTGATCATTTGAAGGTAGAGCGATGTTCGTCGGTAGGCTCTTGTTGAGCGGATACCACTGCGCGACCGGCTTGCGAGAGTTGTCCAACATCTCGAGCCAATGATCGCGACCGATGCCGATCAATGAGGATCCGATCGCCGTGCAACCGATCAACTCGTTAGGACCAATCCTAGTAAAAAATTTAACGTAAATAACACTATGGCCCATACAATTTTGACACTGCAATGAATTCTGTATGCTTCTGATGAAGTACATTATTCTAAATTCTATTTGGAACTTTTCTAATACTTACATATCGTAATCAATAACTTTGACGAGCAATGTGACGTCATAAACATTCTCGTACGGCAAATCGAAGACCAAAGCCTCATTGTAAACAGGGCTTAGGGTGTTCTTTTTCACAGTTGTTTTCTTCTTTTTAATTCTTTTGCCTTGACATATCAGGCAAATTTTTACATATGGATCTGTAAGAAAAACTTCTAATTAAATGCAATTCATCAATGGATAGATTTTAATGAATCCTTGGTATGATTAATAACTTACCCGACGACCCATTTATATCCATAGCTTTCAAATTTCTGCCTTTTATAACAGTTACAGTGAGTCGACCAGCAGTGGGCAAGTAGCAGAGGGATAGCATCAACTCGCCCAAATCTTTCTTCTCCTGTCGATAAAATGTTACTATGACTTTCCATTACCATAACCTATCCGAAAACCTATTTTCATCTCTCTCACTCGTTGGAAAAAAAACAAGAGAAGAATATGTTTTATACACGTATTTCGGCAGTGAAAACGCAATGTTTTTAAGTTTAAGAACTTACTAAATAGAAATTATTAATCTAAATAGATAGAAACCGCAACATCGCGAGTAATCAGATTGCGATCCACATCGGGGGCACTAATAAAATCATTAATTGCATTTTCAATTTGATCAACCACGAAGAACGAAGGCATATTGGAACTGTTCTGCGTGTACTGTAGTAGAAAATAAATAAGATAACTAAGAAATTGAATAGAGTTTTGAAATTCGAATTATAACCACTTCAAGGCTCCATTGATTTGAACTTTGACCACTTTTCAAGGTCCGTTTGTCCCTATTTTTATGGAATAAAATATTTCTTGTAAAAATACAATTAGCGGCAATATTAAGCCTTTCTTAATAATTCTGTGAAGTCAAGGTCTTAGGTGCGACATTGATGGAGGTACGATAGCCTCGAAATTCACCCTCGAGGATAGTCCCGGTAAAGAGAGCAAGAAATAGCAATATTAATCCCGAAGTTCTTGATTAATGACACCGAATCTCTCGTAATTAAGCTTCGAGCAATTGGATTACTTAAGTTCATTATTTACACCGCGATAATCAATTAGGAAAATGTTCTTATTGGCACAGTTTTTAATTGGTGACTAAGAGACGCTCAGTGTAAATTTAGTATCACAACTCTACATTAAAGGAAAGTTAAGGTAATTACTAATTTGAGAAGCAGAGATAAACAGTTAATAATATTACGAAACAAAAACGAATGCATAGTGAATGAATTAATGCAACATCAGTTGAATTTGAAGCAATTTTTAATTTGTCTTCTTATTTTTTTTAGTTAATTCCCAGATATTAGTCTGTAACTATAAAATTTACTTGAATAAATTGAATCGCAAATCTAGACTTGGATTCTAGTTTTAAACATGATAATCCACATTGATGAATAATTTAATATTACACACAAATATATCTCCATCTAGTTTTATGTATATTTTTCTCATTTGTCAGTCTTAAAATTTCCAACAATAAAGTTGATTTATGTTATTAAGTTAACAGTTTTTAAATCTCCGTATTTTCTAACTTAATTGACTATTAATCTACTAATTATTTACAACTCCAACATATTATCAATTTGATCTTCTACATCAGTACAAAAGTGCATAATTTACACATATACGTATGTTTAGTGTAAATTTCATCAATCATCAACTTTTCAAAACTCTTTAACTTTGTTATATTGTTTTATATATATATAAAATTCTCGTGTCACAATTTTCGTTCCCATACTCCTCCGAAACGGCTTGATCGATTCTCATGAAATTTTGTGAGCATATTGAGTAGGTCTGAGAATCGGCCAACATCTATTTTTAATCCCGCGCGGAAGGTTTCGCGGGCGATAGCTAATAATATATAAATTTAACATACTAAGCTAGTAACTACCATGTTTCCACCACATTACCACTTATTTTCTTTCCAGTATCACAACTCAAGTCGCATTGTGGTCAAGAATCCCATCATAAAATACCTGAGGCGCTGCAAGGATGTTCATCGTGTATTCAATCTCTTGCGTCAGGTCTGCAGACTCCAGCAGACCTTTCAGCACCACATGACCGATCAGATCATGCCGACTGAAGCGATCGAAGTCGTACACCGAAAACTGAAGGTAGCGCTGACGCAATTCCTCGTATGGCACGCTGTAAGGATGTTATCAATTAGAAATTCGTTTGAATTCACAAGCTAACTACCTGCTCTGAGTTTACAAAGGAGAGATCGAGGGTTTTACCATCTAAACAACAACTATTGAGCTGGTGAATACCGAGAAGAGTACACTAATTAGGGCAGTTAAATTTGTAGAGATAATACAGACGCGTTATGAAACATTGCGGCACATCAACCGACTTATGATCCTTCAAGTAGTAGGTTATTTCTTTGTCATGAATTATTTTCTTTAATAGTTCTGTCCAATTTGTATTTGATAGCATATTAATTATTTAAGTTATAAAAATAAATTAGATAAAGATTCTATCTTCATTATATACCTGAATAAGAAAGTTTCATTGAAGACCGGGTTGAGATTCTTGCGGTGCACTTTGGTCTGGAATTTCTTCTTGCGGTCGGGGAGCAGGAAGACCTTGATGTAGGGATCGCTGCTTCCCAATACGTCCTTGATCGGTAGGTCACGTGCCTCGAATATCTAAAGTTATCAAAAATGAGAAATGATGCATAGAATTTGACTACCTTGATACTTTTAATTCATATTGTATGAGAGAGTTGACTTTCAATACTATAAAAAAGATACTGGTTAAGTATAATTAATTAAAAATTAATAATCCCGACTGGCTGTACCTCTTAAAAATGTATGATAGTAATTGACAGCCAGACATATTTTAATTTTTACTCTTGCAAGATGTTCTTAAGTCGCCAGAGACGATTTTTACAATAAAACGTTTTGAATTGACTATGTCATTTGGTTATTCGAACTTTCGACTCTATTTGGACTATGACATTATCATATTCCGCTAGGAAGAATAAGAGAAATGCATTCAAGCCTACCTTCACCACAAGTGCCTCAACTTCCTGATCGTATTTGAGAGCGAAGTGCAGTTTGCCGCAAAACTCCAACTCCCCGCTGTCAGTAGATGACTGCCGCACCAGCTCGTTCTTATATAGCTCCGGCTAACAGAAAAAACAACATTAAGATTGATTCTAGTAGGCGAAGCGGGGATTTTTGGATATACTCCAGTGTTCCCCCCTATCAACTAAAGGGTTCCTCCTTTAGTATTACTGCCTTGCACCTAATCAAGTACACCTTCACAAATAAAAAGCTACATTTAAGGCCGCACGTTTAGAACAGCTGGAGCGACCCCTACTTGTACGTTTTTTTTTTAACAAACATTTTTAGACAAAAGATCCTGGAGCTGTCGCTTGTCGCGCTATAGGACGGGCACTGATGATTTTAGTAATTACTTGACATAACCACAGTACTCTACCAAGAAAAAGAGTATCTTTGTTAAGATTCCCCTTTTTCTTCTTAAGTTAATTCATCAACGTCAGTTTGCTGCTGACTTTTCAAATATAGCCAACTTTGTGGACAAGATACTACCTCGAAACTAAAATAAAAGACAATTTATTATTGATTTATTTGTAATTCCCACTTTTTTACATAAACAATCCTTTGACCACTTTAATTCAGTTATAGAAGTAATGAAACTAAAAAAAACATAAGTAAACAAGTGGTACTACATTAAGGTCATTACAACAATGGCTTAATCAAGAAGCTTCCTTACACTGACTGAATCACAATGGCCAGCAACAAATCACTCAAGTTTTAATCTTTCCCTTAACGCCTCGCTTGTAATTACCTCTTTACAAAAATGTTTGTTAGTGTTTATGATTTTTTTTGAACCCTTGAGTTCGGGCCTCTGATACCATCTTGGTTACTAACGTCGGTGGCTCAGGGGACAAGCACTTGACTTGCAATCTGCAGGTCCTGGGTTCGAATCCCGCCATGTACCAATGTACTTTTCGATTTCCAATTACATATGTACATTTATCCGACGTTCTTACGGTGAAGGAAACCATCGTGATGCAACCTGCACATATCTGAGAAGAAATTCAATGATATGTGTGAAGGCAAACAAACCGCACTTGGCCAGCGTGGTTGACTATGGCCTAATCACCCTTAACTTAAGGTAGGCTCCGAGCCCCTCGGTGGGGACGTACAGTGAGGTGATGATGAATTCTTTACTACACTAAACTACTCAACTATATATATACTTCTTCGAGATTCATTAATTTAAAAAGTAAAAAAAGATGAAATACATAAAACACACTGAATATTCTATGCTGATCATGTACCATGCATAAGCACCCGAAAAAAAGACTAATTTGTATAAATTAAACTTCGCAGTAAGTGAAACCATGTAACATGTCTAGTGTAACTAAATAAGCTCGCATTTATTAATTTTTCAACAATGATAATAATTTCAGAAATAGTACGTGACTAGTTAAATAACGTCGGTATTATAAAAACCACTAATTGACAAGGTCAGAATTACAATTCGGATTCCGGATGACGTCAGAGCTCGGGCTGGTAACCCTGGAGCGAGAAGTCAAGGTCTGACCTGGATACGTGTCACGGTCGCCGCTCCCCCGGGACATGCGTGCGCAACGGGACGTCACGAATGGTAAGTGATAACACGCTTTACGAATTATTAAGGCCTTTGAAGAAAAAATAAAATCTAATATGTATTGTGATACATCAAATCATATTTGTGGGAATAAATTCTGAAGCTCAAGAAAATAATGCTAATAAAAAGTTTACTCCAATAGTCACATTCTGCATAAAACATTTCACATTTCTAACTTAATTTAAAATGTTAGCTCACACGTCAGAGGTGACAATAAAGCTACCAGAGAGAGCTTTGAAAAGGCAAGAGCTTTTTGAATAGGCCACGCCGGAACTAGTCGAAAGCTCGTGCCGGATGCTGCGCTCCGAACACCCGACAACTGACATGAAGTCGCACTCCATTGAAATTCATCGCGTTTCACCTTTTATTACATTCTCTATTTAAAGAATTGTACTCAAGCGGCGTTTATAGTGTTCATATGTTTATTGTTCGTTTATATCAGTAAATATTCTTAAAATGGGTACAGTCAGCTGCATAAATATGAGTACCCTTACAACATTTTGAAAACTTGTATCGGTTTTCGGTTCCAAAAATACGTATGTCATTAGCATGTTACCATGGTCGGCAGAATACATACGGAAGCGTGTATACATTTTTTTTGAAACCGAAGGTATACTAGTTTTTGTAGCTTTGAATATGTATACATATTTAAGCAATTGTACGAAAAGTAGCTTTATAATATAATACGTACTTTATTTACTTATAAAAATATTTTTATTGACCTATAAAAATTAAACTTCTTGTATGATTTTTTTATATCATAATGTGGCAAACGAGCGAACGGCCACCCGAAATCGCTGAAATAGTGAAGTGACCGTTGCCCATAGACATTGCCGATGCCTACCTTTTAATCGACGGAGGAGAGGATGCACAGAAAGAAAACATTTCCATGCATCCTCTCATCCGGAAAGTCCACTTCCACTTCCCATCCTTTCCTTGTAAGAAAAATGGTGGGAAGGAAAAGAGGATTAAATTAGGTCTCCGGGACGTACACTCATCAGACTGTACGCAGAATTGCTTCCACTTGGCGCCTGTCTTCTGTGTGGTCGTGGTATTTCACCGGGCGAGCCGGGCCAATTCATGCGAAGATCTTAAAGCGGGCTCTACCACTGTTAATTTATTGTACTAAATACATTTTGAATATTATTATAAAAGCCAGTGTTCATTGTATTATTGATGTCTTGAAGACTAAATTAAAAACACTAAAAATTGGAATTAAAATTATTTTGATTTTTGATCTCTGAATATAATAAAATGAGAATAAAATCGAGAAAACAGCCTTCAAATAATAATCCAAGATAATTTTTATTCTCGGCTATTTTTCTTTTGTTATTTTAATAAATATTTTAATTCATCAAAGTAAAATTATAGTCTTTTGATAATACATTTATATTGAATTATTTATGTTAGTTATAATTTCAAGAGAATTGAGTAAAACATTAAAATAAATTTTCTTTACAAAAGCTGGAGTCTCTTGATATATTATTTTGCAACCTGTTATATTCTCACGGTCATTTCTAAACGTTTAATTCAAAATGTCAATTCGTACTCCAATATAGCTCCAAGAAACTCAATTATAAGAAAATTAAAAGGTGTGATTATGACACTTATATTATAATTTTACTAAATTACACGTGTAATTAAAATAAGCGTAATTTAAAACACGGTATTTATTGTAGTAACTTTAAATAAACAATTGAAAACAATAAAATACAATAAAAACAATATCAGAATGCTGTTTTAAATTATGTATTAAATATAAAATCAAACGTACTAATTCGATTTAATTTATGCCAAATACAGTATCAACAGTAGTTTTTAATCTTACTAATATTATAAGTGCGAATATTTAGTTGGATAGATGAATGGATGTTTGTTTAAAAGTATATCCAGAACGGCTGTATGAATCGCGATGAAATTTGGCATAAATCTAGAACAAAGTCTGGTAGAACACATAGGTTACTAATTAAGTTTTTTTTAATTCTGCGGAAACGGAGTCGCAGGCGATAGTTATTTTATTTATATAAAATTAATTTTTATATTGTACTCCATAGCAAACTTAAATAATAACTTGAGCAAAATTATATAATTATTATATGTAAATAGAATATTTAAAACATAATAGAATAAAACTCGAAAATAATTGTATCATTTGGTAAGTGGAAAAATACGTTGTCAGGGCAAAAGATCGTTGTTTTCCGGCAATAAACATTGAAGGACCAATAAAAATCCCTTCAAGGACGAATTACTTTGATGTTTATTTTTACATCTTTGTAACATTCCTTTTGCAACGCTTAGAATTGTTATTGGTATTTCACTACTTTTTAAGATAAAAAATCAAATCATTTATACAAATTTTTAAACAGTTAAATGAAACGAGCCACTTCTAATTACGAGTGATATTTGCTTTGGAACATCCACAATAAAATATTGCAAGTTGTAAGATTGTTTTGTGCAATTGTTTTATTTGGAGACACAACTGTAGACAATTTAAGAAGTTAGAAATTGTACGTGAAAATGTTTTTGAATACCTATTTCAAGTGATGAGTCAGTTAGTAACAAATATCTGATTATACGCCCGACCCCCATCATGTTGACTAAAGGCTTAATTATCTTTAGAACGCCTTCTCGGAATTTGTAGAGAAATTTCAGTCTGTAGTAACTCATAAGACATATCAAATCATATTTAAAGGACTAATTCCAATAAATTTAGAAATTAAAATACAAACTTCATTAGTAACCTATGTGTTCTTCCAGACTATGTTCGCCTCGCGCTCATGTCTGACGGTTGTCATAATTGACGCATGACGTTGGCGCTTAAGACAACCAACCAACCTTACCAACCTTCTAATATCCATCCATCCGAACATTTGCACTTATAATATTAGTAATATTATTATAGAATTATTAAGATTTTACCTTTATCAATCCTATAGATGAATCAGCGCGCTCCAAGCTGCAAATGCTGAACTGTATAGAAGGCAGGTCCAGTCGGTGAGAGAGTTGACGTTGAAATGTCTGGTGGCGGGTGGGGACTATCGGTAGCGTCGTCTGACGGAGCACCTAGGGAAAAACAATTGAAGAAATACTATAAAGTAATATAGCCATATCTATCATTCTATTTGAAAAAGACAGAGACGAGACTACTTGTGGTAACTCGTGTCACTGTAACAAATATTCCGTATATCTAATCTTATATCTTTAAATTTATATATATATATTTATATATATATAAGAATTGCTGATTTAATTTGATTGTCGTCTTCTTCTTCTTGCGGGGGCGATAAATGGATCTAGCTAGAAATCATTTTTAGAAAATGTCATTTTATTCGTGTTTTATCAATAATCAACTTAAACATAAACTTGGAAGAAAAATAACAAAAAGGAGGCGTTTGAGTAGTCATTCATCATGTTATTAGTAATTCGTACTTAAATATAATTTCCAAACAACACAATTTAAAAAAAAAATACCGAGCAAAGCTCGGTCATCCAGGTACTTATCGTAATCAGAGTTTAGGTCACTTAAGCATTTCTTTTGTGTCGATATCTTGTACTAAATGTTCACCGAAAGACATCCTTAGTTGTTACTTATGAGTGTGGTCATATCACCTTTTTGATACGATAGCTTTTTCCCATGATTTCATCCGCGCGGAATAAAATTCTACTAAAGTACAGCTTTTTATTGGCAAAAGCATTATTGAAATTGGTCTAGTAATTTTTTAGTTAATTCACTACTTACATAAAAACAAATATTTCCTATGTATACCAAACACTATTTAAATAACAATATAAAATATTTTACTCCGTTATTTTTGTTATAACACAAGGGTTCAAACAAGCAGCGGGAACACCGAGGTGTTCAGCGACGCCCATGGACATCGGCAATACCAAAGGAATCGCAGATGCATTGCAGGCCTTTGCAATGGTGATGGTATTCCGTTAAATGTTATTTCTTAATAATAAAATTAGTAAACAAACGCCTTTTAATATTATAAATAAATGATTTCAAGTTAATTTTAATTAACAACTTCAGAATAAGAATCCAATTTGTTTCAATTAGTCGAAAACAATTCAGCTAAGAAGAAACACTCTTATATGAATCGAAGTGACCTTTTTGTATAATAAAAGTCGCATTTGCCAATAAAGTCTTGTTAGAAAGGCTACAAAGTGTATAAACATTATCCCTCGGAAAGCGTTTAGTTCTTAATGTTATTTATTTGATACCACCAACAGGCCACTTTCTTAAAAACACATGTAGTATTCGTAAATACAACGCAAGTAAAAGTAACTTGAGTGGATCATTTTTTTTTAAAACCTAATAGATTGTTTGTCATCACTTTCTCGTGGTTAATTTTATTGAATCAAACATAATGATATCTCTATTATACTGTTGGAGTCATTTTCTATATTGAATATACACTAAAGGACTTTAGTGATGAACTCAGAGTGTGATTATAAAATTAAAAAATATTTTTTTTTACATAAAAATGTCTTTGTTAAGATTGAAATGAAAATAATCTCTTTGTGACTTTAAAAGTTTTAAGAAGTTAAAAGGTAATTATTTCAAGTCTTAGACGAGTACCTTTGGTATTGTCAACGAAAACAGCTTGAGGCGATCAGTTTGCTTCTCTTTCATTAAAATTACCATTTTGTTGTTGTTATTATTCGTAATATTAAAGCTATTATGTGCTTTGTATTTGTAAATCCCTTTTTATAAGCTCTCCAGACTAAAAATTTAGTCGTTAAAAAATGTCGTGTAAACTATTTCGACAAATTCCATCATCATCATGATCAACCTGCCCTTATCCCTATCGAGGATCGGCACAGTATGTACTACTCCTCTATACATCTCTATCAGCCGTCATATCCGAATCTACCTACTTCCAATGCATGTCCTCTTTCATACAGTTCATTTCATAATATCGACAAATTCCATACTATATGTAAAAAAAACTTAATAAGTAGAGTATGTGTTCTTCCAGACTATAATCTATATCTCTGCCAATTTTCATAGAGATCGGTTTAGATGGAATTACCATCAAACAAACATCCATCCATCTAAACAATCACATTTATAATATTAGTCAGAAGTAAGATTCATTTTTGGATATCACAAAATAACCAAAAAAAACTAAAACATCGAATCACAAAAATTAAAATAATTAACCAAGGATGCAGTATTTAGAAGCAAACTTTCAGAGTTCCGAATATCAGATTTTGCTATAATATCGGAAGCGAGTACCAAACAGGATTAAATTCCACTCAAATTAATTGCTTTCAGATGGATGCTTTCATAACCAACATTCGAAGTGATCCGATGCTAGTTTGTTAACTCTGTTTATTGTTTGCAACCGAACTTGCGGTCATTCGAGATCGTTAGTACAGAGAACAAATAATTAATTTCACATCCTCTGAAGTTATGGGTGTGTTTTGTAAAAGTGGAAACTACAAATTACATCTTAAGCTTTACCGATATGATTTGATTTAATGTAAGTAGTGACAGGGTGAACAATTTCTTTGACACTATAAGAACCAAACGCATCGTTTTGTTTTAATAGCAGAACAAATTTTAATTCAGTAAATTAGTAGACTTTGGTAAAAAAATAATGAGACCTCTCTCTTATACTTCATAAACACGTAAAGTCGTCATATATTATTAACTTAAGAAGTATCCAAAGGTTTACTCGCATTCGTCCACTCCTCTTTCACACTGCACCTTTTAGCCTCGCGATCATTCAGCAGCCGCTACGATCTTGCCGATTAAGCGTGATAAAGATATGAATTTGTTATCAAAACATTCTGTGAACGGCGCGAGGTCTACCGTGCGTTGATGAGGCGTCGACTTGCCAACAACCCAGCGTATGGACGACTCATCGACGTCTCGATAACATTAAAGAATTGTAGTATACATCTTGTCCCTCGTATTGATATCTACTACGGTAATTATCAGGCGACACGCTGTTTACCAATATTAATTAAAATCTGTAAAATTAACATCAAAGTTTCTGAAGCGATGTTTATTGTATACTAAACTAGCTGTTGCCCGCGACGCCGTCCGCGTTGATATATAAAAAAAACTTAATAAGTGTAGCCCACCCCACCATCCATCCATATTACATCCATCTAAACATTCGCAATTATAATATTAGTAAAATACAAAGCAACTCTTCAAGGCAAAAATACGAGAAAAAAATGAAAAAATAGTATCCTATGTCCGTTTCCTGGCTCTAAGCTACCTCCTCACCAATTTTTATCCATATCGATAAAGCTGTTCTTGAATTATAAATAGTGTAACTAACATAACTTTCTTTTATATATATAGATTTAATCAATGTTCACTTAAACGTATATAACTAAAACTTTACAGACTGTTCAATATTGGTGAGATACGTGACGAAACAAGTTATATGAAGATTGAATTTATGCGGAATTACGTGCATAGCAATAAGATTTCGGCTGATGTCATTGACCTGAAGTTTGTTAAGTTCGTACTTTGATCTCGGATTACTTAGTTTTTTAAACTTCCAAGTAAAAGGGAAAACTTCGATATTTTCGTATTTTGATAGCGAATTCAAAAGTGAATGGACTGTAAACGGTTTTTACTTTTTCAATAGAAATTTTATTCACGTCAACATTTGTGTAGCTACAGATTCAATGTGTAAGTTTTGGTTGAAAGAGTTCAAATACCTTAAGTACTTAACTTTAATTTATATTAATATTTTAATTATATTTATTTTAACAGAACATCGGTGGTTTAGTGGTTTAAGCACTTGACTTGTGATCTGCAGGTCTTGGGTTCGAATCCCGCCATGTACCAATGTGTTTTTCTATTTACATACGTACATTTATCCGACGTTCTTACGGTGAAGGAAAACATCGTGATGCACGTATCTCTGAAGAAATTCAATGATATGTGTGAAGTCAACCAACTCGCACTGGGCCAGCGTTGGTAAACTATGGCCTAATCACCCCAAACATAGGGTAAGTTCCGAGCCCCTCAGTGAGGGCATATAGTGAGCTGATGATGTATTTTTTCAATATTTTTATAATAAATATTAAAAAAATAAAAGGTCGTCTTACTTTGTCTTGTGTTGTAAAACTCTGTAAGCGATATGGCCGAAGTAGAGTTTGGTACATTCAAATCTGTTACATCAGTGGACTAGGACAATTATTTGAGACAATCGCCATCGTTTCATTATTATCAATTACAACAAGATTAGTTGGAATTTTTTTGTATTTTACGCTCGATAAGTGCACTGCATTTTGTCGATGACGAGACGATGGGAATTGTCGCAAATATTCGTGCAAGGCACACATATAACTTTTCTAACGACACAAAACGTACTCTATAAAAGTTTCCACCAATAATTAACATAGTTACCTTCTTCCCAGCATCCTTGTGTTCCTGTACGTACTCCTGCTTGAGTGGCTCAGTTTGCAGGTCCGGCAGTGAGTGGCTGATGCGTATCGCCGCCTGCCGCGACTGCGAGTCGCAATTGCTATCTTGTGACTCACGCCGCGACCTGCGGAAACATCTAATAATAAAGAAATATTTAAAGCTAAGCAACTAGAAATGATTATCTTATAAATATATTAAAACTAATTTAAAATTATTCAATTATAAAACCTAATTATACTTCTATTATACTTCAAGGTAAAAACACATCTTAACTATCAACTCAACTACAACTGTATTAGGGAGAGATTATGGATTTCAATTTGGCACATCCCAAGCAACTTTAACAATCACGAAAGTAACGACAAATAAACTCTAAATAATATTTAATTGCATCCTTACCTTCCCATCAGCCACCTCCAAGTGGCCGCGCAGTGGTATCCAACAGCTGCTAGTAACACAGCCGCCATCGCTCCCAAAAGCACAGCTGCCACGTAATCAAGGGATGTACCGCGCACACCCGACTCACTCTCCAAACCTCTTGGCACCCACGCACCTCCTAAACATAAACATAGACAAGTTATGATAAGTCTACACTTTTTTAACACGTGTATGACAGGACTATGCCCATTCCAAACCAAGGTAGACAAAAAAATAGCCCAAGTTACTCGCTGACAAATGAATATTGTATGAACTGCAGTTTTCAGTTTATCTGGAACAGACTACCTCTCTGTCAAGGTACAGCAGAGGATTCATTTAGAGTAATGATTACCTGTACTTATATAGTACACTGCTTTTTTCCTTATGTATTAGGTTTTATTAAATTTGTATACACAGTTTAAATAAATAAAACATTCAATAAGAACATTTATCTCTCTACCAGAGACTAGATGAAGTTTTCATTTACTTATCGTAGTAATAGTCAAAGTAATAAGTGGTTTAAAGTTATATGAAATAGGGAAATGGGAGGTCTTAACAAACTCGTAACTTATGGGACTTGAGGATCACTAATGTCCCTTAACGATCCTATCTACGACCACAGCTTTTTGTAACTAAAAACAAAATAAAAAAGTAATTTAAATAAGGAATGTTTAGTGTAAAAATCATTAATGTAATTAAGCACAAGGGATATGCGCAAAAAAGAGTAAGGACCAAAAGTCTGTAGTTTTTGTAGGTTGTAAAAAAATATATCAAATTAAATTTTAATACCACATACATAAAATAGTCAGGTTAAAAAAGGTTTTTAATTATAAAAAGTAAAAATTTAACTTAGTTATTAAAATTATCAAAATTTTAACGAGACATAAACATTTAACAAACATCTGTGCGTGCGGCGTCTTAGCTTTGATCTTTTGATCTCAGATTAAGATCGTGAACGTGAAATGAATTAATGGGGATTTATCGCTAAGTTAACGAATTACTAAATTGATGCTATGAAAGCTTTTATTATAATAATAACTACTATTATTACAACAATCAATATTCAAGGACGTATAGTCAAGGACATATATTTCCTACCCATGATGAGATAAATTCTTTTTATATCAAAATCATACGATCCTAATTTGACAATTAATTTCTGTTACTATGCATCCATAACACAATCGTAAGACGTCTCATTGATATATTAAATTAACTGTTTAATTAAATAAATATTTTTTTTATTTTATAATATAGCTAAGTAATAAAAGTCTCGAGTTTATGTAAATAACAGAGTTTATACTTTTATGTACATTATGTATTGTTAACATCATAATATTGTGGCATATAATATACTTTATATTTATTTTTATTTAGCGACAAAATCCGTTTGTCGCGGTCACCATCCGGTAACTTATCAATGGACCGGAATTAGCGTAATATAAAACTATGTCAAGTACAAAATCAAAACCTTACTTACTTTTAGTAAAGCCATTATTTTCTTCTTTTTTTTTTCAAATTCACAAAATTGTGAATAAATACATCTTACTACTTCTTACTATAATAATATAATAAACGTGAATGTTCATATGGACGGGATGGGTGAATGTCTTCAAGACCACTAAACGGAACTTGTTGAAAATTGGCATAAATGTAGAGCATAGTCTGGCAGAACAAGGGTTACTAAGTTTATTTATAATTTCGCGCAGACGGAGTCTCGGGCTACAGATAGTGTAACATAATGATTTTATATATTACATTCTACGTACGTGAAAGAAAATGATTAATATGTTTTCGGTCGTTAAAATAGCATTGTAATGTCCAATATTCTCTAAGATCCTTTTACTTTACAATGTTATTAATGATTCTCGCAGACTCTACAATAAGATAGCCTAAACTATACCTAAACTCTTTTTTGTGTTATTCAGAAGATTGATTGTGAACTAATAAGTTTTGTGTAAAGATTTTTTTTTATTACAAAAAGGGGCAAACGAGCAGAGAGAACACAGAGGTGTTCAACGACGCCCATGGATATCAGCAATACCAGAGGAATCGCAGATGTGTTGCCGGCCTTTGAGATACGCTTGCTTCTTGAAGGACCGTAAGTCGTAGTGATTTGGAAATACCACCAAGGACAAACCATTCCACAACGCTGCTGTGCGAAACAGGGAGTTTTGCGCAAACCGCACGGTTGTGGATTACCAGCCATCGAGATGGTATGGATGGAACCTGAATAGTCTGTAAGCTTGAAATTAGACGCAAATAATAGATAAATGTGGTGTGTAAAAGAAGTGTATCTATTTATTACGTATTTTATCAAAATACTAGCGCGGAATTAAAAAAAACTTAATTAATAGCATATGTTTTCTTCGAGAATATGTTCTATATGCGCGACAAATTACATCAAGATCCGTTCAGCCGTTCTGAAGATACTTTCAAACTTACATCCAAACATTCGTATTATAATATTAGTTATATCAAAATTTTAAAATGCTAGACTTTGCTTTCTTCTGAATCGACTTTAAAATAATATCACAAATACAATTTCAGTCAAAAAAAATAAAAAAACCATGTAAATCTCACCGAAACTCGTGTATCCACAAAGTAAGTACGTTATAAATTTGTCTATTAGACAAATAGCTTAACTTTTAATGTTCCTATACAACTGTTTCCGTTATAGACCTCTAAAGTCACGTTAACACGAGGTCATCACGTCCCAAACAATTAACTAAACAACTATATAAATAACTGTTAACAGTTTCGACTTCGTTAACGAACCAGCGATTACTAATCCGTGGATGTTATTATTCGAATATGGAATTGAACCGCGTGGGTGGAACGATAAAAAAGGGAATATTGTTTTTTCATTTTCTATTTAAAAAATTATCTTTGGATTGACCAAAATATAATAAAAAAGATTGCTTTTATTATTGAACGAGGTCATTGTATTGTAAAACACCTGATCCGTGACAATGAATATATTTTTTAAGCTTTAAAATTATTTTATGTACATGTGCCATTAACCTTTTTAATTTATATGATTTATATTTATTTTGCAGTATTTTGAGTGAATTAAATACTTTCAAAACGAATCTTACTTCTTACTAATATTATAAATGCGAATGTTTAGATGGATGGATGTTTGAAGATATCTCCGGAATACCTGAACGGATCTCGCTGAAATTTCGCATAATTGTAAGACATAGTCTGGAAGAACACATAGGTTATTTATTAAGTTTTTCTTTAATTCCGCGCGGACGGCGTCGCAGTCGACAGCTAATCTATAACATAGGGCTTCCTTCTATCGAATTTGGATTGTAATTGTATTTATGACGAATGAAAAAGTAGATTTTTAATTCATATTTGATTAGTTGTGTGAAATAATATTTTTTCTATGCATCCTTTACTGACATTTGTGACAGAAAAAGTTTGTTATGTAGTATTGGCAGTTGCGCGTAATTTCTTCCGCGCGAAATTAAAAAAAAACTAGTAATGAATATAGCCTATGTCACTCGGGGATAGTGTAGCTTCTCAACAGTGATTTTTTTTTCCAAATCAGTTCAATAGTTGCGGAGCTTATTCAACACAAACAAATCATTCCTCTTTATAATATCAGTATGGAAAAGCGTATCATCAGACGACTGTACAGTCAGCTACATAAATAAGTAATCATTTACAAAACTTCAGAAACTTGTATACAATTTCAGTTTCAAAAAAGCACGTTTCGCTAATAGTAGGTATTCAAAGTTAGAAGTGTCAAGACGAATACGTGCATGCATATTTTTGAAACCATAGGCGTATTCAAGTTTCTGAAGCTTTGTACATGTATACATATTTATGCAGCTGACTGTACAATAAGACGTTATAAGGTAACAAAGTTCTCGGCTATTTAGAGGTGAACGCTCTCTTTACCGCTCGACTTAAGCGCCGGCGACAATTCACCATCTTTGATGAATTTTCCCTTACCATTTGTAATAACTTCAGCACCTGGTGCTGGAAATGTGCGACTACTAAAACAATTTTGTCATAAAATTAATACAATCCACATATGATTCTCTCACACGCATGCGATATATTTCCAATGAAACAACAGTTTTCAGTGCAAAAACTTATTGATTATTACGACCTTGTCCCTACGGAGTGTCGGAGGTGTCAGCCGTCAGCTTTGTATTCACTCCCTTCGATGTTTTTTGTCACTGACAAGTCACTGTTGCCTTGAAGATACATAACAGCTACAGGCTTGAGGTGGCCGATAGATGACTCTTAGCCTATCGACTATACTTTCGTTGGTCTTGCTCAACGTTTGCAGCCTTAACAATCTTATTACTTTCTTGTTTATCTGATCCGTCATCAATCCGCATAATAAGCGCATACTGTACTACATTTTTCTTTTTTTTCGTTTCTTCAGTTAAAACTTTTTGGAACCTAATTAAATATTGGCTATAAATTATTAACATGTCAGTTATCTGACAGTATTTAGCCTGTTATCTAGCTGTTATAATTTTTGATAAAAATGTCGAACTTATTATAAGAGTTTATTGTACGGATTGATGGAAAAATTATAGATATGTTTTCATTAAATTGATAAAGAAACCTTATCTCGTATGTACTAAATATATATTAAAAGAAATTTAAAATTTTAGACGCGTTACTTTAAAATGATGGCTATTCTATAATATTTTAAGCAATTATTTTATTGACTTTTATAACAGAAACAGAAACAGTAGATAAGAAAAATTATAAAATTAACCGTAAAATACTCAATAAAATTTTGATTATTTTAACTTTTTAATCTAAAATTATTTAATATAAAATTTCAGTTATTTGTTTTTTTTTTGTTATTTTATTATTAATTTTTTTTTAATATTAGCAGATTTTTTTGCAAATTTACTAATATTTCTTTTACTATTCCAACTAAGCTGTAGGCTTGTGCTAGGATATGGTTTACGACAATATTCGAATGGCGGGATTCGAACCCCCGACCTCGTGATCGGAAATCCGTACTCTTAACCATTAGGCTATTGACGATAAAGTATTTAATTATATCCAGACATGTTCCAACATTGTTTATCATCGTTGTTTTCTAATACTGAAATACGTGGTTAGTTATATTTGCTCAGACAAATATTGGTCACGTAT